GCATTACATGTGAGTGTTTCCACCACCGCCAAGTGGTGCGAGGTGGTGGTGTTGGTGGTGTTGGTGGGGTGTGTTCGTGGGTCAGAGGTCAGATAGTTGCAATATATACGACTCACAGGCCATCAAGTGAAAGTGAGAAAGGAGCCCGGTCAAAGACTACAAAAAAAATAAGGTTAAGAGAGGAGAAAAACAACAAGGCCACTTTCTGTGTGTCTTCTTCGTGGGTCAGGCAAATAAAAAGGGTTTCCGTGTGCGGGTAAAAGTGCCGGAAAAGTGTGGGGAAAGTTACGGGAAAGAAGACGGCCCTGACACAATGCAATGAACTTTAAACCCCCACACAAATATTTGACTTGGCCAAATGTGTACCCATGTCAAAGCCAAGCGAAACCAAAACAACAAAATATTATTCATTATGAAAATGTCCGAAACGGAAAAACTACTGCATGTACATATGCCCACACTTTTATTCAGAGGAAGACTAAGGATATAATAACAGGGGAAATCCCCTTCAGTAAACTTATAAATAAACTTTTCCAAGAGGATAAAATAAGTTGACCGATAATTTAAGTTTTCACTAAAAGAATTAAATATAAATAAAGAAATCTTCAACGACGCAAATAAAACGAAACTCAAATAAATTTGAATCACCATTCAAACTATTTTCAACAATTATCCTCGTTCACTAAAAAAAAGTGTACATTTTTCTATGAGTCACCAAAATGAAGAGCTGTTAATGGAATAAAAACCATTTCTTCCAGTTAAAAACAAAACACTTCACAAATTTATAAGTTATGTTTAAAAAAGATAAATTAAAGAAATTTAAATAAAGAAGGGCCACAGAGACAAAAAGTTTAGACACAGATATTTTTTTACAAAAAACAACGAAACAATTATCTTTATGCAAATCTGCTTGTTGTTCGAACGAAAACCCTGAAATTTCACTATATTTAATAGGGTTTTTTAGTCAGGCGAAAAACGTATCGAAAAATTCACTGTCAAACCCACAACAAAGCAAATCGTTGATAACATTAACTCAATTAACATACACACAAGCAACCCAACAGTGACATGTATTAAAATACCTTTTTGCATGTCCTGTGACAAGGCAGCAAAAATTAACCGAAACAACGTCACGGCTCTCGGTTCCTTAAATGTGAAAGTGAGTGAATTAGTTGTATCCTTGACTATGTGTGTATGTGCGTGTGTAAGTGCGGGGGCAAGTGTGAGTGTCGGCAATTAATTGTTGGCAAAATATTTCACCTGCTTCGCGTGCAAATGGGAATTTAACCAAAAGTAAAATAATAAATAGCAAGTTTAGCTTTTGCAAAATTGATAAAGTGATAATTGGCAGATCAGCAAAACAGTATAACAGTACAGAAAAAGTTATACAATCAACTAATCTAAAGCTATTTTTTCTTGATTTTGGAGAAAAACGTTTAACAGTTTAAAACCCGAAATTTAAAGTATGTCTTTGGATTTTTATGCACAAAAAAAGTCATACATAGTAATCAACAAGAAACAACAAATTAAAAATCAAAATATATTCAAATTCGATTAATTCAAATATCTGCATACAATTTATGAATATAAATTATGAAATCTCTGACGTATGAACACAAGGATTTATTAAAATCGAAGTCAAAGGAATACATCCTTGCAAAAGTCCCTGAATTGCCTGTCTATTACGATTGCCCGGAATTGCAACCCAGTCGAAGCAAATCGCTCAGGGAAAATGCCAAATTAAACGCTCTTTGACTTTGAACTACTACATATTTTTGCAAAAGCACATGCACACATGTTTGTACGGGTGCAGTGTTACACACTTTTACAGTTAAGTAAACAAAAGTCAAAACATTTTTGGGCCACAACATTTTTGAGCTCGGTATTCCGGGTTTTGCTTGTCTGCATTTCTCTTACCCCTCTTACCCCACCACCCCACCTCATCTTTTTCCCTCACACATGCACACCCACTCATAAACTCAGGCACATACATCCTGCAATATCCTTTTTGCAGCAGTCACAATCGAATGGCCGGATAGAGAGATTGCATCTCTTGTGGCACAGAAAAAGCGCATACGCAATGTTGTCACTGGCATATTTCCGCAAAGATAGCAAAGATAGCTATCAGCAAACCATAGTATACATTTATGCCTTTCAATTGTTCATGATGAGCATGCAAACACACCCACATACTAGCTCGTGGAATAAAAAATTTTGAAATCAACGCCAATGGAAAAATTTACTCGCGCTGCCGATCCGAGCATCTCGAAAAGGTAAACAAATCAAAAGTGCGACTAGCAGGATGCTAAATTGGAGCAAGGATAGTCGCATTAATTAATACCCTGTCCTGGAATCTAAGCTAGCAATATATATTTCCATCCAAAAAAATAATAATCATACCTTTGTTTAACATATAAGTCAGCCTTATAAAGCACAAAAGTTTAAAACTCGACAACACATATATAAATTTAAAATAATATAGGCTCGATATAAAATACTAGCTTGGTAAAGTTTTTTTTTTAATTTAACCTTTAGAACATTTGTGTCTAAGCGTTTATTTTATTATTTACTATAATCATGTTAATTTATTTATTTTTTCCACACATACTCTGTCTTATTTTATTTTGCGTTTTTAAGTTTTTGATAAAACAGATATAAGCAGCGCTTCATTGTTGAACTGTATTCTATAATTATGATTTAGTAAATGACAGAACTGGTTTTTAAGGTGATAAAATGGTGCTATCAAAATATTCTATTGAAGCGTACTTAAAAGAATTTAGAGAAAATTCAAATATTTTAACAAAGTGTCTCTAATATTTATGAGCGGCTTTATTATGCCAGCCATATTCCCTAGGTATTTTCATCTGTCACTTACAGCGCATCTAGACAAACAGGAAAGTGAGAATCGCGGGAAAAGGAGGCCAGAGGTGGCTGAAAAACCGAAACCAAAATGCAAAACGTGACTTTTCCGGTAGCCGTCGACTGAGGCGCTAACTGCCAGACTTGCTGACTATGGCAGACCGACTTTCAGACGGACGGACTGCCAGTTTTGTAAATTTGTTTGCCTTTCCTCGCGCGGTCTTGGCAATTATAAGTGGGGGCAAGTCAACAAGCCGCACACTGCGAGAAACGGGGGGAAAGGGAGACCCCATTCCCATATTCCCATTCACAAAAACCCCTTTTAACATCAATTGGTAAGGGAATAAAGGAAATCCCCAATTTGGAAAAAAGTTGTTTTGTTTTGAGCTTCTATTTTGAAAAATTTGTCCAATTTTTATTCTTTGGCAAATTTAATTAGATTATTAGAAAATATATTTTTGAAAAACTAAACCTATTTTAGAATAAATTTCTTATTAGAGTAATTTTGGTTTTCAGCTTGATTTACTCAGCAGGAACGAAAACATTGCGAATTGTTGGGAAATTTATGGACGACGACGGTCCAAGGATTCGGATGCGGATTCAGTGCGAGCTCTCAGGTTTCATCTGCAGGTTTTCTGTTTCATGCATATTTATTTACTTATTTATTGGTTCGTTTGCTTGTGCGCTCTGCTGGCATATGTATTTGGTTAATTGAAATTGATTTCTTGCTTTCTGTATGACCAACACCTGGACACCTCGAGACTCTCCAACAAAAAAATCAATTTCTGTTTTAAGCTCACGTTAGGTGTGCGAATTAAATTGCATAATAGCGTATTGAATTTGGGTTTTAAGCTAGGGGTTTGGGGTTTGGGGTTTGGCTTGGGTTTGAGTTTGGGTTTGTGTTTGGGTTTGTGTTTGGGTTTGGGTTGGGGAGAACTTGAACTAAACCACACGTTGACCGAGTTGGAGTGTGGGTGGTGCAAATGGCTGGTGGGCGGTGGTGGTGCTTTCGAAGTGAGTTAAACCGCAAGAACCGCTGACCTGCTTACTTGAGTGCTGGACACAAAGTGGGGGGCCATATTGTTGGTGTGTGCGTGCAACATGCAACTCCCATACACACCCCCTCAGCCACATCAACCCCCCGCTGACAACAATGCAACAGACACAACCGGCAACACCAACAGAAATTGCAACACAGCAGCAACAATACACAAAGACAGCGACAACAATGGCAAAACTTCGGTGCAAAGCTATGACAAATGATTAAATACCAGGGTGGTGAAAAGAATATAAAAAAAAAAACAAAAACTAAGAGGGGTGGGAAAAATGCTAAAGTTTTGTTTAAAGTTTTTCTCTTCCAATAGCAGCTCGACCAAAGAGCAAACCATAAACGCTGCGAATTAATTTGCAAAGAAACAAAAAATAACCCTCTTCTGCAACCCAGATATTTTAAAAATTTTTGAATTGTATTGCAGTACAGCAAGATCAAGTAAATTAAGTGATTTATAAGAAGAAACATAGTTTCAAATAAAAAAAATAAATAATATTTTAAAGATTTATATATATTTAAAGTGCAAATTAAACAATATTTTCTGCAATCAGTAAGCCAATTTGTTATACAGTTTCTCCAAAAAAGATGATTGGCTGTTATTTTGCGCCTTTTATTGTTATTTTTATTGGGTGTGCCATCATCTCTCACTGTCAGAAGTGAGAACTTAAATAGACGTATTCAAAGCGAAATCTATTACGCCCTTGATAAATGGGTGTATTAAGGTGCAAGTCAGTGTATTTGCTGTTATTGTGGGCGCAACTATGTCAATCGGCGGGTTTTACTTACTTAACGTATGCATTAGCCGAACTTAATTAATTACTTTGTCCGCGCGCAATTACAAAGTCAGTCAAGAGGGGTTTCGAACCGCAAAACTCAATTTAACTGGTGGTCGAAGGCGGTGAACCAAAACCAACGACAAGTTAAGCGAAAACTTTCGTATTCAAAGGGTTAAGGGCTGATCATACTATGGGTTCTATTAATTGAGTTTATGCACATTCGAATTACTTGGTATGAGACAGTATAGTATAGTAAAGTGCAAAGCGTGGGCATTTAAAAAGGCTTTATTCATAAATGTAATCGTTTGACTCACCTCTAAACTAATTTCCAAGATAACATCTTTATGTGCTGGCTAAATTGATAAGCCCCTTCAAGGTGATAACTGAAAAAAAGGAAGGCAAAAACGTTGAGTGTGATTACAATGCCCAACAAGTGTGCAAATAGGTATCGATTCTATTTGATTAATGGTTACAGCCAATCGAAAATGTAAACAATATGTTAACAGCTCGATTATCGCACACATTCCGATATGGGGGCTTTTTGGGGGTGGTAATTCAGGTGAGACCTCTATAATTCCCTCGGTAATTAGAGCAACGTTTCAGTAGTACAGATAAAACCAAACAAAAACAGCAGAAAAATACAATTTTAAATAAAAACATAAAATGTAGAGAAACAGAGCAAAAACGCCTTTGCCATTCCGGCGAGTGCGACGATGCCGGCGTAATTAAAAATTTCTTATCAATTTCAATTTCAATTGTTAATTGTTGTGGCTTATTCTACACACAGTAAGTACCTTGCTCAGGTATATCTATATCTATTGTACATACATTTATATGGACGCACATACCTATACACACTGTGCTTTATGGGCTGAATGCGCAATATGAGGGACTAGATCGATAAACCCAAAAAAATCCCCTTAATACAGTAAAAACATGGCCAAGGCTTTTTTTTCCTATGCATAAAAATGTTGTGTTCCATGAAACTAGATATCTTAATTTAAAGCCACTAAAATGTTCGAAAATTATTTTTTTGAGTGGAGGTTATTGATTGAAAATTATCATACGAGAGAAGCCAATTAAAGTTAAACTTTAATTTGTTCTGCTAAATAAAAAACTACAGTTTCAAGCTTGGAATTTAAGCACACTAAATTGGATTTGGCATGGCAGCATCCAAAATGCAAACTAAAATTCTAATCCTTTAAGGCCGTCTGTATTTTATCCTGTGTATATATACTAGGCTTATAGTTTTTATCTGTCTTTTTTGTTTCATAATTTGTTTTTCAGCTTAAAATTTAGTGAGATGTATTAGTAGCCTTGTCTTTGGTCGAACTCAAAACTCAGTCGGATCCCCGAGGCAATCAAATTGAGCTGGATGTTTTCACTTGCCATTACCGGACTGCAACAACAAACCGCAAGCCTCTCTTCCCTCCCCTGCCCACCCTCACATACATACGCACACACAAACTCACACACTCGCAGTGAGGAAAATGAAAATTTATAAAGGACATGGCAGTGTTCCGATAAATCCCGGTGTGGCCAACAGAGAAACCACCAGAGGTCAAGTCGAATGACATGCGTGTTGGTATTGGCTTGCCATAATTATTATCATCATCTGCTAGTCATTGGAGTGTTCAACGCATCAAAGGCGAAAAAGGTAGACCGAATTTTGGGATATTAAATCATTTCAAAGGCAAATGAATGGAAAATGCTTTCAATTTACATGTGAACAAATAGCAATTGTTCAGTACTTTGATTTTATAAACGAAAAGCTAAATAAATGAAGAAAATTTTTGATTTAATTTAATATTAAGCGTTGTTTTGTAACTTGATAAAAGACATGGAAAATTATTTTTTATCCAATTGGCAAGAAATTAAAATTTCAACTGTGAAACAAGCTTTACGAGGTATGGTATTCAAACTTGGGTTTTTCTTTGCGAAAATTTAAAAGAAAAAGATATTATTTAATGTCGAATTCAGAATCCGAAACTGGATTTGAATTTTGTAAACTACTACTAAAAAAATAAAACTAATACGCTTTTATTTGTAACGTTGATTATTTGATTGAGAACTTCCTTAAGCTCAATTTTTTTTGGCAGCGATTCCATTTTATTGGCAATGACAATTGGGTTTTGATTTCGTTTGCGAATTTAGTTTTTTTTTTTCGAATTAATGCCAAGGCACTTGTCGGAACATGTTGTGCATGCTAAAGATCTGGAGATCGCATTGGATCGGGCATTATACAACTTCGATTCCAGAGCGGCACGCGACTTTGCCCCTGCGCATTTGAATAAAAAAAGGCAACCGAAGTCGAGCAAATTATTAGGCCGAAATAATGCCAGTCATGTAGCGACGTCAGTTCGTATTTACTTATTTTATTTGTGCCGTATTTTTCAGCCGGTGACAAAATGAGCCAAATGATAAAGCAAGCGTAAAGGTGTTAGCTTCTTTTTTTCTCGCTCAGCCGAATTCCACATTTTTTTACTGATCACAATAAATTGAATGTCCGCATGTGTGATCCAGACTTCTGGGGTTTAATTTTTTATTTATGATTATTATGTTATTCTTTTTTTTTTGACGACCAAATCGTTTTGTGGCACTAATTGGTTGGTTAAAGATTCAATATATATTGAGTAACCGATGATAGTCCATGAATCCCCCAGCCAAATCCATTATCTTTGGAAGGTGTTTGTGTGGGGCAAACAATAGTGAAATAAAGAGAAAAAAGATCCCCAACGTTTGGCCCAAATTGAGTACTGTTTAAACACAGTTCCAGAACCTGTTATTCAAAAGCTGTTGACAACTTGTTGCCAACGGCAAACAGCGCTAACATTTCCCAAGAATGCGAGATCACCTGCTGCCACCTCCCACACACACATTATCCATGACTTTGTCTATATCTATATCGTTATTCTTTATTGGGGATATTCCTCATGGCAGAGTCGGCTGCTTTGAAGTGTCGGGTTAAACATCAGAGAACATCAAATAAGCCCATCTATCTCAGTTTCGACTATTCGTGACATTCCTTCACTTGGTCAGGTCCAAAACCCCAAAATTTATTTAATTTCATTCGCTTATTCCTATATCTTTGTTTCTAACATTTCGATTTCCTATTAAAGTTACTGGAACATACAATTCAATATAATTGTGCTGGTCAATTTGTGATAAAATATATAAACATTTATCTGAAATGTTCTTAGAATAAAAAAGGGTAAACCCATTTTTATAACACTCTCATTTATTTATTACCAAGACTTAAAATTTTTGATTGTTAATTATCCCGACATTTTTTAGCACGATTGAGCGTTAGTTTGGTTTACTGCTATTAAATAAACATTAAACGAGGGATCGTAAAGGCACAAAACACAAATAAAACACCTTACACTGTTAAAAAAAAAAACAAAGTTAATCCCCATATTTTATATTCAAATTAAATATTTTCCCTTTGAATTCCATTGCGGATTTTAGTTATTTTAACTATAAAAATATTTAAACTTCATTTGAATTTGATTTAAATATCTGAAAATTTAATTTAATTTTAAGCCATATTTAACTCAAATAAAATGCATTTAAATTAAATAGAAACTAATTTAAATCTAATATTTTCCACGTAATTAAAAATTGTAATATTAAATTTAAAAGTCAGATATTTTTTTGTACTATTTCATTTTTTATGAGTGTAAAAAATTGAAAAAGAAATAAATGTTTTTATATTTTGTATATTACAAAAAAAGCTGTTCTTTTTTAACTATAAAAATATACCGAGTATTATTTATTTTAGTATAAATAATAAACAATTCTGATTAAATTGACACCTTCAACACCTTTTCCATATATGTATAGTTTCCTATTTATCACATGGATTTATAAGATCACAAACGCTTTTCAGACGGATCCAACGACGCAGATATTATTCACTATGTACTGAATCCATATATCTAGTTCAAATTTGATTCGCAAACAGGTCGGCGACAAAAAAACATTTGTTTGATAAAACGTTATCGGCCACGGGGGTCTCTGACACCCGAATAATATTACTACAATGGAGAAGTCTGAGGAACGACAAGGGAAAACGACGGTGGAGTTGTTCTAAATTTAGAATAGACTTTTTGACAGTCCATCGCAGCGTTACGTTGATAATGTCATGTGTATTTACCTTTTTTATTTTTTCGTATTCTTCTGTTTATTTTTTATTTTTGTTTTTCTTTTTTAATTTTTATATTCATCTTTTTGGCAGCTGGTTTTGGCTGGTTTAAGCCAACTTCTTGGGGGACTTCTCTTTGATCTTGGGATCTTAAGACGCAGCACGTGCAACTTGCACTTATACTGGCTCTTCTCGATGCGTTTCTCTTTCCCCGATCCTCTCTTTGGGTCTTTCTCTTGTGAACTCTCTTCTATGGGCATGACCACCGGACTTGTTTGTTATTCTCGCTCGCGGGCAAAGTCCAACGAGTGATGGCAAAGTTCATCGGTTATTTTAACTTGTTCTACACTATTTGAACGGATAAAAAACTCCTCAAGAAGGGGAAATGATTAAAAATTAATCCCAAAAATGGGAGGATTTTTAAAAAGATAACTTTTACTATATTAAGGCATCTTATACCTAAATATTCTTTCAAATATTAAGCCGATGCACTGAAAATGTTTGATTTAAGGATATTTCAAATGCTGAGACCTCATAATCAAAGGTAATCTTTTAATACTTATATTTTTACGAAGAGCTCACCTCAATGCGTAAAACTAATTATAAATTATTAACATTTTATTAAGATTGTTTTTCTTTTTTAATTTGCATTACTTTTTCAAAGAATAATGACAAAATGGGTTTTTTCTTTTTTCTTAAATCCAGCAAACAACTAATATTTTCCACACTACAAAATTTGTTCAAAAAAATTATTATATTGCCTATAAAATAATTACCAATTATAAAACTGTCATTTGTTTTCAACTATATAAAGTCTAATCTAATAAAACAGGCATGACAAAGTTTTGACAAGAAATATAACAATTACAAACATTGAAAGATAAGGGGCGGTGGCACTACTATTATTTTGACCGCAACTGTATGTTATATGGATATCATTTCTATCATTATTATTTTTTTATGTGACCCTGTGAACTCTGTAATCCTTATCTTCCGGGGGTGAATGTTGTTTCCATTTTTTAAGAATAATTTAAGTTTTCTTTACTTTCGCATCTTTCGTTCGTTCTCTTTCGAAAAATGATTTGAATTCTTCGCTTGGCGAGCCTTATCAATTTATTACGTTTTTCTGGTTGACTTTTTATACATTCCTTGTTGTATATTTTGTTTTCATTACGTAGCACTGATATGGGACGATCGGGCGTAATCAAGAGTCAAAGCCAGTCCCCCAGAAGCGCCGCC